TAACCAGAAAATCCTGCAGAGAGACAGTAACGCTTGTTTGTCATTTAATGAATTTAGCATGTCCTTGTTATGATTTAAAGCACCAAATACCTCTTATTTCATTCCTGTTTTAAGGACTGCTTGTGTCAAGGGCATCAAATCTGTCCCTTGCTGCCTTGTTTGATGCATTCAGTGTTAATGTTTTCTCCATTCCAGGAGTAGACACAGATGAGCTGGACAGCAACGTTGATGACTGGGAGGAGGAGACTGTTGAATTTTTTATCAATGAAGAAATTATTACCCTTGCAGAACCAGAGTAATTAATAAAACTGTGGTAAGATGGCATACCTCTCAGCAGAGAGAAACTTTTTCTGTCAGCTCTTTCTATAGATTCAATAATTTGCTTGAGAAAGTTAGGTCTGTTTGCAGGAGTGAATGAGTTATTCTCTGAGTTGGTTTATGTCTTCTCTGTGGCTAGAGGGGACAAACAAAAGCTTTTTTTAAAATTAATCACAGATAGTTAGGTTTATGAGCTGTGCTGAGCAGAATACTGTGTGTGTCTTGTCTTGCTAGAGTGATCAAACCCACAACACAGGGTCAACTTTGAAACACCATGAATTGCAGACTAACAGTTCTGTCAGTAGAAGCAATTGTATTTAGTATTAGAAGTTTTGCCTTTTGGAAGAATCGCATGTTAGCTGAAGACTGAACAGAGTTTAAATACTGTACTGATGACTACACAGCAAGTTAACTGTGGGTTGATATAACTTTGAGCAGATATTTAAATATCCACATGAACTCTGCTATCATTTTCTAGAGACGTTGGGTAGAATTCAGTAATAGCAGATCCTCACATGCTGTCGTGGTTTGTTGCTGAATATCTTTTATTTAATCCAGTGTTTTTGCTGATTCCTTGTTGTGAATTCATACCATATATTTGTACGTTGAAAATAGAGGCTACTTCCAGCCACTGTTGTATGAAATGTCCTTTAGGGGCCTGATATTGTTGTATTGAGGAGGGAAAAGATAGTTTAATTGTGAAGGTG